GTGATGCAGGTTTATCATGAACCGGACGTCTATCAAAGGGCAAGAGGATTTATTTTCCTCTAACTAGATGTTGTGAAAGACCAAAGTGAATTCTTTTGAGTCAAAAGCTAGGACCCACTCGACATGGTGAGCTTGATTCTCATAGAAGGATGTTCAAAGACGCAAAGTTCTTTAGTCAATGTTGCATCCAGACTCAACTTCTAACATTTCATTTTTGTTTATCCTGCGAGATCCTTGAAAACATTGCATCTACATATCATACACATCATTATATAATAGGTATTTCCTAGGACATGTTTTCTCATCATCTTGCTTTTTATTTCAAAAAAAGATGGCTCTTTAACAAACCGTGAAATATCTTCAAGCTCAGGACGCTCAATTTCAGCAAATGTTCCTGAACTTAGCCAAAGGGCAGGAACACTTGAAAGCACTCATCATCAAAGAGAGAATGAAGAATACTAAGAAGCCAACTGTCATTCTTAACATGGGTAGAAAATTCAAAGGCCCAGTCAGGAGGGCTCTAGATTTTAAGGTCCTGCCAAATGAAGATGATAACCAAGAGGAAGACGAAAACATTGTGAAAGTTGAGGAGAATAACAAACTTGGTTCTGGCCAGTATTCTGATGAAGAAGACTTTTCAGCTGAACAATATCCTCTTGCTGATGACAGATACAAACGGCTGGAAGATCGTCCCAATGCCATGGAAATCCAAAGAGTACCTGCATTGGATTTTGAGGAGCTGGGATTTGTCTTGGGGGTTGTGATCCCTCACAAATTCAAGATCCTTACTTTTGCTAAATATGACGTCGTTTCCTGTCCTAAACTGCATTTAAGGTCTTATGTTTGGATGATCCAACCTCATACTGCTGATAGGAAGTTATGTGTAGACTTCTTTCAAGAGAGCTTATTTGGGACACAACTGGAATGGTTCTATCAGGTGGAAGGAACCAATATACATACTTGGGAAGACCTGGCTGCTTCTTTTTACAAGCAATATCAATACAATGTTGACCTTGCACCAACTCATATGCAATTACAAAGTATGATTATGGGCTCGTATGAAGGCTTCAAAGAGTATGCCTAGAAGTGGAGAGATTTAGCTGGAAGAGTTCAACCTCCTTTATCTGACAGGGAGCTGGTTGATATGTTAATGGGAACTTCGATGAGACCTTTCTTTAATCATCTGATCGGAAGCTCTTCATTTGGGTTCACTGAGCTGATTTTAACTAGGGAACATGTTGAAGGTGGAATCCGAAGCAAAAAGATTCAGGTAGCTACATCTTCAAATGCTGTAAAGAAAATGCTCAACAAGAAAAAGGAAACCAATGTTGTTTATGGCCAGAAGGGTCGTGCTAGAAATGAATGCAATCAATCTGTGGGGGTTGTGCTAATTTCTAATCCAACGCCTGTGCAACAACATCAACCAGGAAATCAGCGTAGATCAGACGCACCCAGGAAACAATTTACTAAGGTCAACATGTCATTTTCTCAGGCATTACAACATCTACTGAAAGCCGAACTGATAATATTAAGGGATCCTCCTCAGAATCCCAACACCTCCTCTCCTTGTTCTAATCCTAATGTGAAATGTGCTTGTCATTTCAATAGTCCCGGACAGACACCAATATCTGCTGGGCTTTGAAGAATAAAATTCAGGATATGATTGACAATAAAGAGATTGAGTTCGATCCTCCTGAGACCCCCAATTTGATTATTGCACTTATGCCCAAGCACGACAAAGGAATTAGTGCTATTGATGATGTTCTTTTTGTTTCTATTGTAAGTGAATAGACCACTCCCCTCTTGACTATTAAGAATAATCTGTTGCAAGCCGGTTTATTTTCGGGTTGCATTGAAAGGTGCTACTGCTGTGTAACCCAACATAATGGCTGCAAACTGCTGAAAGAAGGTATTCAACATCTGATGGATAACCATACCATTATAATTGAGAAGATTTATTCTATTGAGAATTTGTTTCAAGACTTATCTGTAATTTCTGACACTCCTATCGGGATCACTGCCAAAGGCCCCATGAAGATTAAGGCTGAACCTAGAATCACTCCTCTGATAACCACCGCACCCGTACCTATCCCATATTCCTCGAACAAAGCTATCCCTTGGAATTATGGGGCCAACGTTTACTACCACGGCGTTAAACAAGAACCTTTGACCACTGAGAGTAAAGGTATTGAAGTTATTAATTCCGACATTGACAATATTGTTGGGACCAGTAAGGTTAATAAAAGTGGAAGGGTTTTCTCTCCCGAAATCTCTCCGAAGAATGTTTTCACACAAGTTCGTGTTACTACCACCAAGTCAACTACTGAGACTCAGGGAAAAGGACAAATGATGGAGCCTGCCCAGACGGAGGCACCTAAAGGAGTTACTGCTAACGACACCTCCCGGAAAGAGTTGGATGAGGTATTGAAAATCATCCAAAAAAGTGATTACAAGATTGTTGAACAACTGGGACAAACCTCCTTTAAGATCTCCATGTTATCATTGTTATTGTGTTTTGAAGCTCATGCACAAGCCTTGTTGAAGTTCTTAAAGTTTGCTCATGTGCCACAAGAAATTTATGTCGATAAATTTGAAAGTTATGTTACTAGCCTAACGGTTGATAATGGGCTAGGCTTTTCTGATGCTAATTTTACTCCTGAAGGAAGAAACCATAACAAGGCGCTGTATGTTTCTATTGAATGCACATGCACTACTTTAGCTCATGTATTGGTTGATACGGGTTCCTCATTTAATATTTTTCCGAAGGGTGCTCTGGACAGACTTGATTGTGAAGGGGTTGTGTTGAAACCCAGTGATATTGTGGTTAGAGCCTTCGATGGTTCAAAAAGGATGGTGCATGAAGAGGTGAATCTTTCTATCAGAGTAGGTTTGCAGGTATTCGATTCCACCTTCTACGTAATGGATATCTGACCGACCTATTCCTGTTTACTGGGACGCCCCTGGATTCATGGGGAAGGTGTTGTTACCTCAACGTTGCATCAAAAGCTGAAATATCTCGTGAAAGGAAAGGTTGTTACTGTTTGTGGTGAAGAAGAGTACATGGTAAGTCACTTGAACTCATTCAAGTATGTTAAGATGAAGAGAGAATTCATCGAGACTCCCTGTCATACTTTTGAGGTTATTCCCTGGACGACTACCGATACTGAAGACATTTTTGCTATTCCCAATGTTACCAGGTTTCCACCCAAAATGGCTTCTTTGAAGAATGCTAGAGCTGTAGTGGAAGAAGGTGGTTGCACTACTTGGGGTTAGCTTCCCGACATTCCATACAAATCTGAAAAATTTGGTTTGGGTTTCATTGCAGATGCTTAGAGGGTTGTTCGTCATACGCGTACTGGAAGACCACGATTCCGCGTCAGCAATAATGGAGTCAATGCGGTAGAAGATGCTGATAATGACTACGCCCTAGATAGATGGATCTTTCCTATCATCGGAAACAGACTCAGCAACTGGAAGACGGAAGACCTTATCTCAATCTCCTATAGTCAGGAGTATATGCCATTTTCTATTTCTTTTTGCTTTCAAACTTTTGGCTATGTAATCTTTAAACAATAACTTTAAGCCTTGTGTCTTACCCGAGGCACAACAGTCCATTTATGAGGGTTGTCATTTCATTAATATATCCTCATTTAATAAATCATTAGACGTTTCACATTCAAATTTTGTGCTCTTTGTCTTTATTTTATTTTTATCACTTTCAAAATAGTTGTGTTCTTACAGACACCCACACAACAAATTGCAGATCCACATCCATTTTGGATCCCATTGATAACAATTTTGCTATTTCTACTTATGACTTCAAAAATCCGATCTACCAAGCTGAGGACGATGTTGCACCCTAAATTTCGCCCCCTAATTTTTTCAGTTGCACATTCATACCATATTTTGTCAATTGGTCACAATCATTAATAAATAGCTCCATTCATCACATTTGCATCATTTAATCATGTTTAAGTTGACAAAAAGTCTGTTTAAATCGACATTTGCATCATTTTATAGTGAAAAAATACTCGGCATTTCACTTCATGCATTTTTATCTGTTTACTCATTTCTTGCATTGCTCCAAGTTGTTTATATGTCGATAATAAAAATATTTCGGTTTTACAAACAAACTGTTAAAAGCGATTCAACACTGTGCGAAAAATTAGCGAGAAAAATATTTCAAGTTTTCACCTTTTATCGATCATTTTATGAATCTGCATCTCGCGTAGATTATGACGGTATGCTCGCTTTATTTTTTCGGTACAATTTGAAGTCTCGTTTTTAATCGTAAAACGTCTGTTTAGCCTGATTTTTTATTATTTTATTTTGATTTTGACTTTTTGAATATTTTTTCTTTAATCTTTGTGACATGTAGTTTATTTTAATGTGTCCATTTTATTTTTTCGGATAAATTTTCGTCTGTTTTTTATCGTTTTCGGTCATTTTGGGTCTTTATTTTTTTATTCAGCAAAAATTCAAAAAAATTATTTTAAATTAAATTATTTTTTATACTTTCAGTTTTTTATTTCATTTTTATCATTTAAGGCCGTTTTTGTCATAAAAATATATTAATTACACTATACTTAATTTCTATTGGTTGTTTACAAAATTTGAGGATTAATACATATTGGTGAAATTTTGAACGGACATGATTAATCAGAAATCAATATTCCTCTTCATTTTTCTCTATATAAAGCACTCATTTTTCTTTGTAAAAATCACAACAAGTAATATAAGGCAATAGCATTAACTTCTCTCCTTCTCACTTTCTATCCTTCTCTTCAAGTAACAATAAAACAAAAACAACTAACAATAAAGACTCTCTTCCTTTTCATTTACTTCCTCTCTCTAACCTTTCTATTTCTCTTCCCTCATTCTAACAACACACAAAAATCCAAAACAACAACAAATAGCAGCAGCCTGCTACTTCTCTGTTTCCCCTTCAATTCATCATCGCAACATCTTCAATCACAGCAACCCATCTCCACCTAACCTCCATGCCAAACTCCTTTCTACTCATCAAACCTCCATCATCATTCCATCACCCACTGTCTGATCCAACACGAATCAACAGATCCTCACGTCTTCGATTCAATTTCTGCTCTGCACACAAGCAGCTCCCTCATCTGAACCATCACGGAAACAGTACATCACCGCCCCTGTTCATCTTCCTTCCTCCATCAATTCCGCAAGCCGTCCGTAATCCTTCTGCCAAGATCTATTCCGAGATTTCCAGCACCATCAATTTTCGATTTCATCTTTTCGGTATGTTCCGATCTCTTTACTAACTGTGTTTGTTTAAGTTAAATGATTTTGATTTTGCCTTTGTCTGCGGAGATGAGTATGCTAGATAGTGTTGATGTCATTATGCTCAATGTGAAATTAATTGATAATGAATTTGTGTTGATAACATATTTTAGATGTTAAATTTATGAGAAGCTTGAAATGTTTTTAGTATGTTGTTTTTTCAATATGTGAATTCAAATATCTTCTCATGAATGGACACAAATTATTAGCTGGATTGATGATTATAAAATATAGAAGCTGATAAAATTTTGAAAGAAGAACGAATAAGTTTGCTTTGGATTTGGTTTGTTAATATGTTTTCTACTGGTTTATGTTCATAACATTTTTCATGCTTTGCCATATGCTACTTTTCATGGATTATTTGTTTTCATGTGATTTTGAAAAGTCACGAGATGTTCAATTGTATTTTAGTTTTAATGTTAAAGAAAATGGGGTGGTTTGCTTTTGTTTGTTTTTCTTATCTTCCTTTCTAAAATTAATTTTTATTTTATTATTTATAGTCTAGTTAATTTATTCTCTCATATATAAATCTCTAAAATTTTAAATATTTAGTTTATTATTCAATTATTTTATATTAATTTTTAGTTTATCAAAGTGGTTCTATTGTACATAATGTGTATGCATATGAATCATTTCTAACTTCTTGTATATAAGATATAAATTGCAATGTGAATCTCAACTTCTTGTTTCATTTATGAATTGATGACCATCTTCAACATTGTGTTTACTTGAGTTTAAATGTGTTTAGAATATTGAATGCCATGCTGATTTTTGTTTGGTACATTGAGTAATCATCAAATTACTTGGTTTTCTACTTGTTCATGCACATTCATGCAATTTCATTTTGATTTATACCTTGTGATTACTAATACATGTTCTAATTGTTGCAATTTCATTTGGTTTCATTTTTATACCGCTTATGCTACTAACAAGTTTGTTTACTGTGAAGGTTTCCGAGAACTGTTTCAAGCGTTCGTTCTCGCATAACGCATTTATACTTTTTCTTTATTCCATTTTTACCTTACTATTTTGATTTAATATTTGGTACTGTAAATATATACTTGTACATAATATTTTGACTGTATATTTTATTCACTTCATTTGTAAATAAATTTTGTTTATGTAAATATTATTTTCATTGCATTGCGATTTTATTTTTTAATTCCAACTAACTTCTGAAAAATCGCACAGACGCATATAAATTTTCCCGTGATGTTAGTTTTGTCTGTATATTTCATGTGATGCAGGGAATCTTATACTGTGAGCTTTATTCGATATCTTGAGCCTTTTCTGGTACCATGATCGTCATCGATGATTTCTTTTTCCGTGATTTATTTTCACGTGTTGCACTTCTCGCTTGTGATTCATTGTGCTTTATTCGCTGCTGGGAGTATTATTTTACATCTGGTTTTTTGATGCTGTCGACTTGTGATTTATTTTCACCTGAGGTTTGGTATACTCTTACCTTATTTTTTCTGTTTGTGTCTTTAAACCCAAAGGGATGGGAATACAGTATTGACTTCATCATGTCAAGTACTGGTTTGTTATTTGGTCAGATTCTCTTTTCCTTATCTTTTACCCTCCTGTACATAGTACACTCTCTTTTCTCCCATTCTTTAAATTTTCAAAATCTTCTTTGTTTATAAACTCAAACCGCTTTCATAATAAACCTCGACTTTGTCGAGCGCTTTTATTTTAAAACTTACTTTTCTTTAAACAAACTTCAATTTATTTAATCATACTTTCACATCTTTCAAAACTAATAAAAACACTTCAACTCATTCAAACTCTTTTGTGCGCTCGAGCACTTTTACCTTTCAAAACTTTTTTTCAAGATGAGACATGATTAATTGATAGTCGAGCAACATTCTCCTATCCCTATGGTTATAAAGGTGTCGACTTTTCCACTTGAATGCTACAGGCGTTCTCAAACCCTCACTCTTGTTGATGCAGGGTCCATCTTTCTCACATCTTGTGGGCGTTAGTCGAGATTTATCTCCTAACAATGACGACTTGTCTCCTTGTTTAAAATCAATCAACAAACAATTCTTTTCTAGCCGAACTACGGTGCTCTGACTTTCCCATTGCCCGAGGGAGTACGTAGGCACTAAGTCTTATGACCCAAGGTGAGCAACAAAAACAACAAAAATAATAAAAAAAACATTTCATTTTCTTTTGTTTTCAAATAAACATTTATTATTTTCCTTTAGCAAGTAAACTTTTACATAACACTCCTTTTAAAAGAAACCAAACAAAGTGGATCCTGCGGAGTACCATAGATGTTTGGGGTGCTAATACCTTCCCTTTGCATAAACGACCCATGTACCTCGATCTCTGATTTTTTTGGGTTTTGTTCGCTTTTTTCCCATTTCCCTTTGGAAACAATAAAGTGCGGTGGCGACTTCATTGTGTTGAGTTAAGTCAATTGATGACTTAATCTCAAATCTTTATCGCTATATTTTCTATTTCATATCATTACTGTCACAATTGAGCGCCAGAAAAGTGTGACAGAAAAGTGGCGACTTCACTGGGGACAGATTGACCTATTGCTGGTCCATTCCTAAGTGGGTCAATCTTAGCTTTGTTTGTTTCTCTTCTATGAGTGTGTATATTTTGTTTTACTTGTCGTTTATTACTTCCCATTATGTTGTATATATGTTTGTCTTGATTTTCCTGGTTTTCAGAGGCTTGGTGATTTCTTATAAGTCTTCTACCCAGACTTTGGGCAAACTTAAGATAGGAGGAGTGGTATAGTCATGTTAACTTTGAGGGAGTAATCCCAAAAAAAAGAGACATGAGATCCCCCACTCAGTGGAGGCCCCTTTGACTATAGTGTCGTTTACCGAGTAATCGAAAGACATACTGCTTTCGACCTGCGAGCCTGCTGAAGCTGAGGACCGTAGATTACCTAACCCATCTTGGCCTTTTAGGTGTAGTGCAGAAGCTATGACGGAGTAATTCGGAAATAGTTGTCACGCGATACTACGCTCGGACGAGTTTTTCCTGAGAATATTGCTAATTACCAAGTTAATTGGGATGTTGGTAATATCCGAAGGAAGGATGTAGACTCTGGGAACCTCTTAGAACCTTGTTCGGCAGGTGATAACCGTTAGTCCATACCTTATGGGTTGTACCTTTGAATCCAGGCCCGTGACTCTGAACCATGTGATCCTGTTACTGTGCAGTGCATTGCATAACATTGCATATCATTTGCATCCTCTGCATCATTCTACATACATCCAGGTTGTTCAGGATCTTATTCCCAGTTGCTTCTTTTTTCCAGTTAGTCGTCTACCGTCAAGCTGATTCCTCAACACAACTACGGGACTAGAGCTGTTGTCAGATTGAGAATGGAAAACCAAGAACAACACAACATGGAAGTCAGAATGGAAATCGACGAGTTGAAGTCAGACATGGCCAAACTTACTGAGATGATGCAAGTCCTGATTTCCAGAGGAGAGCCACCTCAAAGGACTGTGATATCTGAAATCCCAACTGCTGTTGTTGACACTCAACCTATCCAGCACAAATCTACTACATGGCCAGAGTTTGGGTTACCTCAGAATTATTCTCTGCCTGTTGCAATTACTTCAATGGTTGGCCAGTCTTCCCGACCAGTCTTTCAGGCTCCAGTTTTCACTGAACCTCATCCAGTCGTTCATAACGCTTCTCGCCAACCTGTTGTACAAGGTGCTTTTGGGAACCCTCTCTTTGAGTACCATGTTGCCAGTCCTCGAAGTGTGAGTCAGGGAGACTTTGGTGAGTTTGAAGACTTCAAAGAACAGTATCAGACTTTGGAGAGGAGACTCCGAGCTATGGAAGGGAATGAGTTCTTCAGCATTAATGCTAATAACATGTGCCTAGTTTCTGATCTGGTTATGCCTGCAAAGTTCAAGACTCCTGAGTTTGAGAAATATCGGGGGCACACTTGTCCAAGAAGTTATTTGGTGATGTACTTTCGAAAGATGTCTTCTTACACCAAGAATGACAAGCTGCTTATCCATTGTTTCCAAGATAGTCTGAGTGGAGCTTCATTGAAATGGTATATGCAACTTGAGAAAGGTCGTATCCAATGCTTCCAAGATCTTGTTGATGCTTTCATAAAGCAATACAAATACAACCTTGACATGGCACCTGATCGTTGCCAACTGCAAAATATGTTTCAGAATGAGAAAGAATCTTTCAAGGAATATGCTCAACGATGGAGATAATTGGCATCTCAAGTTGAACCACCTCTGGCAGAGAAAGAGCTAACTAGTTTGTTCATGGATACTTTGTCCCCCTTATTTTGGGAGAAGATGATCAGTAGTGTGTCTTCCAGCTTCACAGATCTGGTGACTATTGGCCAGAGATTAGAAGAAGGAATCAAGAGCGGTAAAGTGTCTAAAGTTTCTGAATCTTCTAATGGTGCAAAGAAATACGTTGGGAACTTTCAGAAGAAAGAGGTAGAAGCCAATGCTGTCTCGACTGAGATAATAGGACATCGCCATATGCCTCAAAAAACTGATCAACCACAAGTAGCGGTTGTTACTCCTGCGGTCAATGCTCAACCAGTTCATGTCCCTCAACGACATAATATTGCCCAGAATCAGAATCGGAATAGGGCTCATTTTGATCCCATCCCTATGACGTACACTGAATTATATCCTACAATGGTGCAGAAGGGCTTGATTACAACTAGGCCTCTGATTCCTTGAAATCCTCCTCCAGCCAGGTTCAGATCTGACCTTCACTGTGAATTTCATCAGGGAGCTTCCAGTCATGATTTAGAGAGCTGCTATGCATTAAAAAACAGAGTTCAAGAATTGGTGAAAGAAAACATTCTTACTTTCAAAGAGGCAGGCCCTAATGTTGTCAACAATCCTTTTCCAAAACAAAGTGGCTGAAGACTGAGTCGGGGTACCCTCAAGTCACTTTCTAAAGCCAGTGTTTTAGACATGATAGCTCATCCTTGTTACTGATTAGTCAATAGGCCATATTT